CCTTCTTGCTGGCACTCTCTATTTTGTCCCTTACCTAGATGAAGGTTTCATCCCCTTCCCTGATGTGGAAGTGGCGACAAAGATAGTGGCCATATCAGGCGTGGGATGCCTCATTTTATTGAAATTTTCTACAAATTAAAGGTTAACAAGGTAAGCAAAGTTCTACGAAAAATTTAACAAGGTCAGCAAAGTATGAGAACATATTACCTCGCCTCGCCTCAAGCCAAAATCTTCGAAAAAGTGGGTCGACTGGATTAATTGAACAAAATCGCGAGTAGATGAGGATTTCTTATAGACCTCGAACAGAGTGTCCCAATAGCACTCTGTAAACCCAAACCTTTCAATCGAACCTGCAAAATAACCACAAAAAGGGTAAGTATCAGACCTTGTTACTTCAGAAAGTCAAGAAAGCAAGAAATACACTCACGACCGTCGGAATATGAGGTTGGAACTTTGACGTTTGGGAAGAGGTCACCCTTACATTTCTGCCACATTCCTCTTACCCAAAACCATGTCTCCTTCCACCCTTTGATGAAAGTAGGAAAACCTACTACAAAGAATGAGTGTGACCCCCAAGGACACAGTGAGTACCATCCCTTGGAATCCCCTTTTCCTAAGGACCTAGGTTGGTACACTGTTTGGAAGACATGCAAAGGCATGTCCTCACCCAAGGAGGCCTCCTTCCAAATGAAGTAGAAGCCTGCGAATCGGGTCCAGGCATTGGGGAAAAGTTGGGTAGGTGCTAGCCAGTAGAGTTTAAGGACTGCCCAGAAAAAAGGATAGATTGACAAGCGAAGCCTAGCCTTTAGAAGGTACTCGCTAACAGCGACACAGCCTTGCCTAGGATAGCAAGCTCGCTCATAGGAGAAGGGGAAAGAATTTCTATATCATAAGGGATCCTATATTTTTTCCTAAGGTTGGCTAAACAGGTTGGGTTTACAGAGGTATGGTCAGCTGTGTTGGTAATTTGGAACCCCATCTCATAGGCCAACTCACTAACATTTACTTTCGACTGTGAAGAAGCCATTGATTCACAGATTTTGTATAAATTTTTACAAAGCTAGAAACAACAAAAAATTACAATACTTACGAGTTTTTCAGAAATAACAAAGGAAGAAGAACACTAGAGTTTGCAGAAACTCCAAGAAGAAAGGTAGAAACTCAGATAAAAAAGAATACTTAGAGGAATTTCACGAAGGAATCTTCGAAGAATTCTCAAGAAAGACTTGAAGATTTCAAAAATTCGATAAAGCGAGACAATGATTCATGCAAGAGTGAAAAGAAATTCTTCTAAGTATTTGTGCCTTTTTATAGGCATACGCACTCAATCCCAGCCATTGGATCTTGATCCGGACTATCCGACCATCCATTTGAAAGTTGTCATCTGAACCATTAACCACATCTGATGCTTCGTCTTCTACGGTCCAGATGAAAATGTTGTTGTCACATGCCCCCATGCACCTAAAACTTATTTCAAAATGTAGGAGACAGTCATCATTACATATTTAATAGGACGACAGTTTCGTGTATTGGGAGACGAACCGTTTCAACTGTCTTTTCTTGGAATCGCACCACGACATCAAATTAAGGACATGTCCTATGCAATTTGGACCCTCATCTATAACCTCAGTTATGGAAAGGCACTTCGGCATATACCATTTTGAATACATCCACTTCGGCAGATTTTCCCAAAATTATTCCTGAGATGACATATTATCAAGTCAACCACTTCGGAAACTACTTACATTGTCTCCACAGGTCAGATACATTCTAAAAATTCTAACCATTACATAAATAGTCATGTTTAGACTTAGGGGACTATTGTTACTCCTCGCCTCCAAGGCCCAATGAAACGATGCTACGTAACATGACATGTGGGCAGAGAGTCAACAAGAAAATCAAAAGAAGACCCAGGAGGTCAAACACGCAAAGAAAGCAAACACACCAAGGTCCTCCGTAATAGCCAAATTCCTCACACTGCATGATGAAGTCCAGGCTGATGTATTTCTTTGAAGACGAAGCTACCTAAGGAAGCTAAGAGAGGACTAGAGGTTCTCCACTTAGAGAAATAGTTCGAAGACTCCTCCGAGGCTCTCAGTTCATCCGAGGCTCGTAGCTGAGGCCGTTCCACTTTCAAATATCTCTGTAAAGTGATTAATATAACTCTTATAATAACAGTTTGTCAGTATGTCAGCCTATTGTATAGGGCGGCTGACCCCTTATCAATGTATTAATTGTATGAATAGATAGTGATGTGACGTCTCTATTAGGAAGATGAGCCACTTGGTTTTGATCCAATGATTACCATGTCAGCCAAAATAATATAAATGGGTTCTTTATGTAATTTAGAAGGGGTTGGACTATGAATTGAGAAAAGAATAATAACTTATACTCAAAATACATAATCACTTGAGTTCATTTTCGGTCTCTTGGGTATGTTCATGAGTAAAAAATTCTTGTATACGATATAGTAACCTGATTGCACATCATATCTATCCTTCTACTTGTTCACGTTTGTGATTAAACCATTTAGTTTAATTTCAGTCGATCAATCATAGTTAGCGGTATCGATTTTGTTCCGTAGGAACTCGTTGGAACCGTACTTGACTTGGCGTGAGTGGGCCCAATATCTGTTGGCTCATTTTCGGTGGTCGTCATGATGCATATTTTTAGTATTATATAAAACAAATTTTTATATTTGAATGTTGCTACGCTAAATGTTTTGTGTAGTGGGACTAAATTTTGATAGAAATATATGGATTTATTCCATGTAAATGAAGAATGAAATAGTTAACGGAATGATTTGGGCTTGGAAATTGAATGGAATGTTTGTGTTTACGAATCATAATCATAATGAAATTATTTGGGCTTAAGAATTGAATGGTTAATGGAATCTAGAATCATATACGTGTCCTTTATGCTTGGTGGCTGATTTCTACTCCATTTATGTGTTTTTATATTCAAGTACTTTCATAATAGAAGATCTTACAATGAGAAGATGGAGTCAATTAA